ATGACATGAGAGGAACTAATTTTGCATTTTGGCTCTCCATTTACAGGCTGCGCATTAAAGATAAGACATTTTTCTTATAAGCTTCAGTTTAATAATATATAAAATGAGGCTAATAATTCCTATTCACATCATAGAGTTGCCTTACAACTTATGTAAGAGAATGCAGAGCTAGTATCTGTGAATTATAAAGTGCTCAATAAATCTGTTAATAACATAATAATTGTAGACTCTTAAAAGTCCTAAATACTAAGCCTTAGCTAAGAATTCATACATAATATGCAGTAAATGGGATTTCAGTACCAAACACAATGGACACTGGTGGTGGCTTAAATACACAGTCTGTTCTCACCTTTGAGACTTACATTTTGTTTATAATCTTTCATGTCACATAAATAGAAAAATGATTCTTCTGGCATGCATTTACAAGTAATTTCTTAACCCAGTGTCAAAAAATACTAAAAGAAATTCACCTCAATTTTAATTCAGTTTTAATTTTCACCTAAACTGTACAGTTGTCCAGCTGTGTTCTCTGTTTGCATGGATACTTAATTCATTTAATGAGGCTAGCGCCACCATATCTTTATCATATTTTCCTGTCTCCCTTTGTATGATATATTGAGTTACATTTCTAAGAATCTTTGCCAAATCCAGTAAAAATGCCATTATATAGCACCAGAAAAAAAGAAAAAGAAGCACATAGTAGCATTTTTTTTCCCACTAACAGTGTCAGCAATTAACAAGTGTAATCAGGCAATGTAAGCAAAGCTGGAGAGTAAAGGATAGAGTCTCTTTGAGATTCAATATGCTATGGATGCTTTTAAAGAGATCAACACAGGCAATCAAAATGCTGCTAACACATTCTTATGTGCTTGTAAAAGTTGTGTTCTTTGAAGTATTTCTCTTATCTCATCTCCAAGTTGGAAATATGCCCATCTTTTCAGATTACAGTACCATGCCCTGTTCTTTAGCAGGAACTCTATTAACTGCCTGACCATTTTAAACAAATGACTTGCTGAGGTATCTTTTTTTTTTTTTTGAGAGATTTTCACTGTAGGGCGCGTGCGCTCGCCAGACAGACAGAGAGAGACAGAGAGACAGAAAGCGAGAAATCACCCCCCAGGGGGGATGGTCACGCTGCAATCCCTTCTCCTCCATTCTCCTCTCGGGATCTTGGGCACGCACGCACACGCGCCCGGCGTGAGTTTTAAGCCACCGGGTCCGGGACACGAACCGCGGTCGACTACGTGGGAGTCCAGCGACATAGCCATTACGCTAACTGCTGGTTCCCCTGAGGTATCTTTTGAACTGAACACCTACTGATCTCTTTGCTAGTGACTTTATCAGTCTGAAAAAGGAAGAGAGACCAGCAGTTAGCGTAATGGCTATGTTGCTGGACTCCCATGTAGTCGACCGCGGTTTGCATCCTGGACTGGTGGCTTAAAACTCATGCTGGGCGTGTGTGTGTGCATGCCCAAGATCCTGAGATGAGAATGGAGGCGAGGGGA